GCACCTTGGTACTATAGTCTACGCGGCCTTAAACGTTCGCCTTTATGTCGACCCGCAACCAACTGTTGATGATCGTGGCGGATTCTTCTGTCTTCGTCACCTTTTCGGCAGACTCGACAATTAGCAAGGGCCTACCATGGCCGCATCTCCGACCCTTAGTATAGTGATGATGACCGCAATGGGCTTCTCTATTTCCCCTTCAGCATCCTCATCAGTAGGGTGGTCCTGCCCCATCTATATTTCCTCCCATGAGCGACAGTTTTCCTCCTTCAAATTCCTCGAATCACATTCAGCCTTCTACAGTTTCTGAAAACCGTTCGCTCTTTTTGCTTTTGTCCCACCTCCCTGGCTCACGTCATTTGGCATCGCCAGCGAGCTGAGAAACTTTTATTGAAGTAATAATATCGCATGTGATTATACTACTCGTAATAAGTAGGTAGTTGTCTATGCTTACTCTTTTCGACTAACCGACGGCTGCTTGTTTTTCGTCTGCAATCATGCAAATGACGTCTTTTTTGAGTTTTCTTCTGTATCGATACCTTTCATGGCCACTATCTTACCGGTAGGGTGCTCAGATGCGCTTGCCAATCTTTCGCTAAATAAAACTAACATTAAGTGAACCGACAAGGTCCATGGCTTCTCCCCGAAGTTAGCGCGACGCCAAGCCGACTGCCGAGTTATTTCTTCAGCTGGCAAATGGGTCAGATTGTTTGCAGAGAGGAAAATGCGCTGACCTATCGTAATGATGCTTCCTTTGGCGACCCACCTCGTGATTACTGTCGTCAGTAACACCCGGCTTCCGCCATGCAGTGGCTCAAACAGCGCCATTCTTTTTGGTTGACATCGTACATAACAACTATCCAGACATTCCTTCTCCTTCCCTTGCCAACATTTCGCTTCAGGCGGTCTATGCGAGTTTCTTCCACTTGTACCTGGGCCGTCAATCTGCTCCATTTTCTTCATCAAGGCTGCGTAACAGGTATTGCGGCAAATTTTGTACCAGTCAGCTGCGGTCTTACGCCTAAGTCCAACGTCTCCTTCATACGGATTTACTATCCCTTCATTTCTAAGCACGAAACAAAGTTGCACTACTTCTCTTAACTCGCTGATTATAGCGTTTCACTTCTGGTCAACAGATTGCGGGTTCAAGCCTCGGGTGATGTGCCACCTAATGTTGAACTATTTCGGTCTCACTTGCCTTTGCGGTATTGTTCATTTACCTCCCTTATTGTAAACCAGCTGTTCTCAGAGACTAAGCCATTGCGCCGGGCCTTCCTTTTGCGGCACTGGCTACACCGGAAGACATAATCATCCGTGGGCA